TATATATATATATGTATGTATGTATGTATGTATGTATGTATGCATGCATATGTATATGTATATGTATATGTATATGTATATGTATATGTATATGTATATGTATATGTATATATATATAGTGTGTGTGTATGTGTGTGTGCGCGCGTGCACGCGCACGCGCGGGCGTGCGTGCTAGCCAAGGCCTCTGTCACAGAGCTGCATCTGCAGAGCTGTATGGACATCTCAGAGACAAAGGAGAGCTTGTAGAAAAGCACACCCACGGGCACCCTCTTCGCCTAGTGTGCCGTCCTTCGCCTCCTATGCTAGGAAACGGGAAAGTACTCTGCTAGGTTTAGCTCCAAATTTCTAAGATTGTAGTCTTCATTAAGTTGTCATTTGCATCTGCCACCTCAGAGAGGCACTGAGGAGGGCATGGGCCCAAATAGAGCAGTGTGCTGGGGGTGAGGTTTATCAGTGGGGTGCCAATCAGCTGGTCACTTCCAAAGACCTCCGGGACTGCTAGAAGCTGCAGATGCAACCGTTGTGTGGTTGCTAGAGCAACACGTGAAGTCACTAACCCCAGCTCCCAGGGATACAGCACACACCGCAAAGGCTGATGAGAACCACGGCCCACGTTTGGAAACACTGATATTGGGGCCTAGGGCCAGCAGGGAAACAGAGCAGGGAGCCCAGATCCCAGCTGGCCTCTGCAGTTTGAGGAAACTACACCAAGGTTCACATGGACTGAGTTAAACATGGCAATCCTCACAGTAGCAATGAGAACCCCTCTGACAGCTAGAAGGAAACAGAAACACAAGGGGTTCGCCTGAGGTACATGCGGGTGGCTTGATCACAGAAGCAACCACTGAAGTACACACACCAAGAACACCAAGGCCAGAGCTGAAGCTCTTCCACTCAGGACGAAGGCCAGGAAACAGAACACCAATCCATTAATCCCCACCCTCATGACCAAGCAGTTTAGCTTCCAGGAACACAAACAGCTTCCATCATCAAAAAAAGCCCCAAAAACCTCTGAGGTCTGTATAATAAGAGGAATGTTCAGGGGCAAAGTCAGGCTTTGAGGGTCTATCTCCTGGGGCTTTGGCAGCAGAGTGGCATTCCCCAGGCTGAGGGCCAGAGCAGGGTCTGGAGACAAAGTCAAGCTTAGACTGTACAAGCTTCACAGGCCACAGGGCCAGACGTAGACTCAGGCTGCCAAACTCAGGGCAGAAGGGGCCTCTGGGAGTTCAGGCCAGGAGAAAATATTGCTGATGGGCCCAGGGGACCAATGACTGTGTCCTTGGTCCCTTTCCCCACCCCTCAATATCTATAATGGTTCTGCCTCTCCTCCAGAGGAAAGCCAATGCCTTACCCAGCTTTACTGAAGCCAGGCCAGCACAGAACACAACAGTTCGCCTCCGTATCCACTTATTCATGTGTCTGTGATGCCCTAGGGCACTGGGCCTTGCCCAGCTCCTTCTCTGAGAAAAACAGTCTTTTCACGGTCCCACAGAACACCCAAAGACAGAACCCGAACCCAGACCCCCACCTTCCAGTTGCTAGGCTGCCATATGAGACAGGGATGGTGACATTACAAGAAAATGACAGAGCATGTAAATTATGCCCTCTATCTATATTCGACCTCTCAGTAATTTCATCCCAACTTCCCCTGTTTGTGCTCTCCTTTATAAACCCCTCATCTGTGACCCAGTCATGGCTGGATCCTAGAGGACAGAGGCACATGTCACCTTGTACCCAATACCCCCAGCTTGAGATGGACGGCTGGGTCCTGAACCCTGACCTGTTGACACAACTCAGGGGACTAATATGGCAAAGTCGGAGACGACAGTGCTGGGTAGATTTCCTGTGGCCCCTTCAAAAAGAGGCTGAAGGGACAGACTGGTACAACTTTAAGAAATACGTAGAGTGCCCTCTGAGACTCCCAGCAAACCTGGTTATTTTAAGAGCAGGGAAGGAAAGCTGCCTTCAGGCCACTGAGACTGCAAGAATGCCAACCCCCTGAGTCACTGGCTATTAGAGCATTTTATACAGCTCCTGGGGCTGGTTGCCTCTCCAACAGCAAAATAGGCAAATAAGCAGGAGACCAGTCCCTAGCCTCATTAGGAGCCCTGCACAACTCCATGATGTGGAAGTGAGCTGTAAAGTGGCCTCTGGCCCTACTCCAGGTCCTAATGGGTCACCCAGCCTCCCAACCAGCCCATTAAGGGGCTGCCCATCTGGGATGGATGATCCATCCGAATGGAGTTTCAGAGGATATCTGCTAGCACTCAACATGGTGGGTATAAGGCTGATGGGCAGTGTATCTATCTCCCATAACTGAGTTCAAGACGAGGGGAGAGGATGGAAGGGGACACTTCCAGGAGTGATATGACGAGCCTGCTGTGGTCCCAGGGTCTGTGGGTGGTTCACATGGTGTTTCCAAGCTGGTGTGGAACTGGGGGAGAAGAGAGCAGGGTCACAGACCCTCAGAGCTGCCCCCTTCAGCTGGCTCACTATGCATAGCTGAGCTTTACGGGGGTTGGGGGACAACACAGGTCACCCTAGACACTGACCATGGCCAGTCACTCACTGAGGGATGGGGGAGAGGAGAAAGGAGAAAAAGAGGGGACAAACTGAATTCCATTCACACAGGAAGACCACTGTTACACAAATGCACAAGTCCGGGGATGTGGGGGGTGGGTAACAAGAAAGGAACAGTGCCAGCCATCTGTGCTCTTTCTTTCCATGATCAGTACTAAATTGTATCCCCAAAGCCAGCTTCAGACCAATACCAGAGACAGAAGAAGAAGAAGAAGAAGAAGAAGAAGAAGAAGAAGAAGAAGAAGAAGAAGAAGAAGAAGAAGAAGAAGAGACACAATTAGCAGGCAAGCGAAGATAAAACAAAACAGAACCACTGACAATGGGCAATGGAGTGAGTGCTAGAGGCAGACAACCTGGAGTCAAACGCTGGATGCTGGATGTGACTTCTGAGTTCCCTAGGTCTCAGCGGGCCACTCTTGTCAGCCATGACTTACTGTCCCCGTTTCTGAAATGGGAAGAACTCTTTGCTTTTTGATGACAATTAAGTAGGTATTGGAAAGTTCATACAACAATGGCTGTCGTTGAATAAGTGCTTGACAAATATCACTGTCACCACCACCTCCTCCTTTGAGGGCCTTGGAGAAAAGTGACATTCAGTTACTAAAGTCAGTCAAGGTGGGGAGGAGTGTTCTTTTTCTTAATCTGGCTAGTGCCCAAATATGCTGATCAGTCCTCCCACTTACTGTTGTTTGATTTTCAGATAGTCTCAATGTAGCTCAAGGTGGCTTTGAACTTGAGACCTCTTGCTTCAGTCTCTCAGGCACTGGGGCACAGGTGTGCACCGCCACACTCAGCTCCTCTTAGTGATTAAACATTTATTTCATTTTACTTTGTTTGTTTGTTTGTTTTTTGAGACAGGATTTCTCTATATAGCCCTGGCTATCATAGAACTCACTCTGTAGACCAGATTGGCCTGGAACTCACAGAGATCCTCCTGCCTCTGCCTCCAGAGTGCTGGGATTAAAGGTGTGTGCCACCAACGCCCGGCTGATGTGACTGTTTCTAACTTAACATCTTCTAAATGGTTTCTTATATTTATTTACTGGACATGTGTGTGCTCACACATATGCCACACTATGTGTGTGATCACACTACCTGTGGGAGTTGGTTCTCTCCTTTTACCCTACAGGTTGCAGGGAATCAAATGCAGACTTGGTGGCAAGCACCTTTCCCCACTGAAACACCCTCACCAGCTCTAACTTTAAGACTGGGACTGTCCATCTCTGTATTATGTAACTACAGCTCAGGAGATGGGACCTCAAGACTTTCCGTGCTGCCTTCCTGTTTCCTAGGATTGTGTTCACTGTGAGAGAAATAGTTTGCAGTTGGAAAGGTTTCTTTGTGGCTCCGTCTCACAAATTTCTATTCACCCCATTTCTGTGCAACTGTCTTGAGGCTGAAATTACATGGTGAGGCCAAGCAAGAGAAAGCCTGAACATGTCTGCTCATGTGTCAAATATCCCTATGCTTCCAGACCCTGACCAGTTTCATTTCCCTCTAATTCCTTTGTCCATACTCTCTCTCTCTCTCTCTCTCTCTCTCTCTCTCTCTCTCTCTCTCTCTCTCTCACACACACACACACACACATACACACGCCACAACCATGAGCTCCAGAAACCTTGCACTTGAGTGTCTTCTAGGACATTTTCTTTCTTACCACGAAAAAAGATTATCTGGGCTCATGCCACCTTAACTACATTAACCTGGAGGCCACCCTGAACATGGCACCCTACATGCCAAGTGTCTTTGGGGAAGCCTGAGGGCACAGCCCTCCCTCACATGATATGGCCCCACAAGTGAGGCTCTGGCTCACGCATAATCTGCATGCAGCCCTCCAGGTCAGGCCCTCAAATAACTGTCATTGCCACAAATGCCACTCCATCTGTCCTCATGCCAGTCATTCATTTTGCCTAGAACACCCTTCCCATCCCATATAGTGGTTTTCTGACTTCCCTTCCCTAGGACTAAGGACTGCACCTCTAGAAATCTCTCTCTACACACCCCAAGTTCCTTCTGCTGGAAACTTTGCAACCATATCTATCCTGCCCACAGTGTCCCAGCACCCAGACCCACAGAGGGAAAGTCCTGAAGTTTAAATCTCAGGCTCTGAACTTTACAACAGGGTGAGCAAGGGTGTTCATAGCTTCACATTCCATCCACACTGGGTCTCTTCCAGGTGGGTCCACGCAGATCCACTCTGGCCCCATGGAGATGGCCACACCTGCTACAAAAGCATCCCACTTTCTCTCTGGCAAACAGCCTTGCACCCTTGGTCTCTTCTCCAGGCTGTTGCTGACACACACACACACACACACACACACACACACACACACACACGATTGCCTTGGATCTTGTTAGAAGGCCACTTGGATCTAGCAGCTCAGGGTTGGGCTTGAGAGTCCACATTTCCAATGAGCTTGTGATGTTCTGTACTGTAGCAGCTGCTAGGTGCCTACCCCAAGAGATCCTGGGGCAGAGGTTCTCCATGCTGGTGGCACCTGCCAATCTCCCGGAGGGAGGCTAAAACCTCCACAAGGGGGTCCCACCCTGCACCTATTCAGTTGGAATTGTAAGGACTAAAGTTAACAAGTAAGCCCCACTTGCCCAAGGACAGATAACTTCCTGGAATGCTGGGGCTCTTGTTCATGTAAGTTAACAAGTCACGTGTTTTCACTTCAGTAAACAAGCTTGGTTGCCCCAATTGCAAATGGTGTGCTTGTCAGACGCAGGCAGGAAGTACATCAGGATGTATGCTAGCTCCCAATGGATGACAGCAGGAAGTACCATAGCCTTGTGGTTTCTGCTTTTACATGCACCTGACTAAGCTAATTCAACACCGTTTCCTGGCAATACTGGGTCTGGGCCTGGCCAGTGTCCATCTTCCTGGTCAGTAGTTAATAAAGCCTGCTTCAGTTGGATGATCATGGATTTGATTTCTCTCATTGCAATTTTGAAGTTCAACAGAACTCTCTGGGGGTGATGCCTTTCCAGGAGCTCTGCAGGATTTCCTGCTTTGCATCTAAACATCCTTCTTCTCACCACGTGGCTGCTGGGAAAATCTGGTGATGACAGAGCAGGGAGATAAAAGCACTCCCAGGAGCACACTGCTACAGTCAGCCCCAAAGGGAGAAGTGAGCACAGGCCCGTCTGTCTGGGAGCCTTGTCTCTTCTCTGGTATCCACAGCCCAAGCACGGGTCCTGCACCCACTGCCAACAGTCACCTGTACTGCAAGGCCATACTGGCTTCCTTCCAGTGCCTAAGGTCTCAGTCTCACACAAAGCTGCCATGCAGGCCTGGCCACCGATGGGCCAAGGAGATTTGATGAAAACCTCCAGCCTTGGAGTCTTCAAAGTTTTCCATTCTATCTTACATTTATTTATTTTTAAAAAAGATATATAGTCATTTATAAATGAGCCAGCACTGGGGAGCTGTAAACATGTTATTTTATGACTACTGGCATTTCTCCTTCACAGTGAAGGTTCCAGGAAGGGCAAATCATCCGTGTTAGAAGGCAATCAGGGCCCTGGAGAGACAGCCTTGGTCAGAAGATTAACTGCAGCAAAATGTGCCCAAAGCCTTAAAAGGCACACTCCCTACTGTTTTCTGTGACCTCTTCAGTCAGAGGAACCACAGGACAATGACAACCAGTGAGAAGTTGAGAGCAATGACCATCACAGGGGAAGCCTGGGGAAAGTCACATGAGACCCAGATGGGGACAGTTCTTGCCTCTGTGTCAGCTGCTGTCATCCTTCTGCCCCATGGGGTCGAATGTCCCAAGCCATTGCTTTCAGAAAGGAGGGCAGCAGAAGAGTTGACTTTCAAAATCGGCAGATCAGTTTGTAAAGACCACAGGGCACAACAAAAGGGTCTAGGTCACCAGATGGCAAGGGCGCTAATGCCCAGGGATTACCACACCTGTGCTCACACAAAGCTCACAGAGAAAGAATTGAATGGGGGATGATATGAACTTGCCTCAATACACTCCTTGCTGATAAAGAAAAAAAAAAATTCAGGCTTTTGACTTACATAAAGAAATGAATCGTATTACAATTTGTGTGTTTTCAACATCTATGGGTGTTTACTAGACTAAAACTAAGTGCAGGAGGTGGGAATGACAGACAGATTAACCACCAAAGCTAGCCTGGGCAGGGCGAAGCAGCCTAGACTTCCCATTTCTGCTGGCCCAACTTGGACATCAGGAAGGGGTCCAGTGAAACCCATCACTCACTCCCTGAAAAGACTTAAGGCTTTTAAGTGCCTAAGAGATGGCCACGTCTACCCGTAATGAGGTTAGAAGCATGGCAGCAACAGGCAGAAGCAATCAACTGTGTCCCTGCAGATGGTCAGACTGCTGACTGGAGCAGAAACGGCTCAGAATCGATGTGCTTAGAAACACAAAACAGGGAGTGTTGTGAACACGGTAGCCAAAAGGCAGACTCTGGATGTTTGGGTGAGTTGCCTGCCTGTGCATGCTTGCTTTTGGGTGACCAAGAACCAGAGGCATGGCAAGTGAGGAGGAAAAGGGCTCAAAAGCCCAGAGAAGCAACACCCAAGTTTCCTTATATGAACTAAAATGAAAAGGAGATGGGAAAGTTTGACCATCTCTGTAGGGAAGAGCCTCCGCCCCCACCCCCAACATCAGATGATTGCTAAGATGGACACAGGAGTCAGATTTTGGGGCTGCCTGGCATGTGCCATAGAGCAGTGCCTAGCTTGGGTTCCCTCCCACAAGGGCCAGCCCCAGTTCACACACCTCACCAGAGGCTGGCCCCACCCAACTCTGGGGCACTTCATTCCCCAGGCTAGGGAAGCTCACAAAACCAGAGATCTGGTTCAGAAACATGAGGCTGGCGGCCATAAGCCTAGCGGTGTCTCAGGATAGAAGGGGCCTACAGGGACAGGACAGGCCCAATAGTCTACTTCTTCTCCATTAATGGAAATGAAGGCCAAGCAAAAACTAGTCTTCTGTTCAGGAAGGGCATCATGGCCAGCCCAAGGCTCTAGGGTAAACTAAAAGCATACACCAGGCAGATAGTACTGTTTTTCAATGGACATAAAGCAATCTAACTTGCTCTGCTATTCTGATAGCACAAATTAGATGTGGCAGAGGCACTACGGGGAGTGATGAGCTGGGCCTGGCGCTTACCTGCTCTGTCCCTAGCCAGAGTCCCCTTCTTATCCAAATTGGCCAAGGCAGAGTCCAGAGCCCCATCACACGTGTAATTGATTTGTGATCACACCTCTGGATGAAGTGGGTATAATGACCCCTTTTACATGGTTTGGTGAGAAAGGCACGAGTCTACAGGCAGACCTGGCTGGTTTTGTCCCTACCATCAACAGTCCTGCACTGCAGACCTCTCTCTCACACCTGTAAGAGCCATGCATGGCACCCACTTGCAGAGTGACTGAGAGCAGAGGCTTCTGAACACCACCAGATCCATGATGACTGGGCTGCTGTCACCATCGTTATGAACGAGAGCCCTGGTCTCTACATTCCCTCCACCTTAGGCTGCTGACTTCCTCTATGGCCATCCTCATTGTATATCAAAGCTGCCAGGAGGAGGGGCACCACCTCAACCAAGTACTAGTGTCTACCCAGAGGCAGGGAGGGGTCCAACCAGGAGAAAGAGCCAAGGTGCTAAGGACTAACTGCCTTCTATGCCCTCCTCAGCACACACACCCTCTAAACACACCGTGACCTTTGTGTCTGGGTTGGTTGTATTAAAGTTGACATCTTGGTATAGAAAAACTGTTCTGGAGTTCCATGCTACTCTCAGAGCACAGATGTTGTTTTCCAAGACCAAACCCAGAGTCCCAGAAAATCAATTCTTTGAGATTTTGAAGTAACAGTACAGAGGGGTCAAGACCCCTAGCATCCAAACCTCGAAACCCAACTTTCTACCTCTAACTTCTTTGAGTTTAGCTTGCTCTTCTATAAGCCAAGTATCTAACTACCAAGATCAAAGTAGAGATGGGCCACGTTCTTAAACTATCTCCAGGATACAGGAAACACAGGGGACCTCTAACAAGCCCATCTTCTCCCTTCTCTCTTCCCTTTGACTCTGTGGTCCTCACTTAGCTATGCTAACGGGCTCTTCTCTCCTTGTCACAAAGCCACAGGGATTCCTCAAGGGTCACGGGACCTCCTATTATTGGCTTATCAAAACAGACTCCGCATAGTCTCACCTGTAGGTGGCCACCTCCAAGCTGAGGCCAGTCTTCACCTGCACAAGATCCTGGTACTCCCGCAGCCGGTCAGCCATGGCCAAGGTGAGGGCTTCCTTCTCATCCTCCAGGCTGTCAATCACTCTCTGAAGAGAAAAAATAACTTTTAGAGCCACATCCCGAAAGCTTCGTAAACTAAAGATACCAACAGAATGGGGCATAAAAAGAGATGTAACCCTTGTACAGATAGTTTCATATAATGAATTTCTTGCAGATGGAAGGTTTTCTCTTTATTGCATACAGAGAATCTTGATAGGATAAGTGCTTTTATGTTTGGACTTCCTGACAAGATGAAGGCTTAGTTTATTAAAAATCACTTCTGCTTCAGATATCAGGCCACATAGGAAATCCAAATACATCCAGCCAGGCAAGTAAGGTACTACTTAAAAATCAGCCATGGCTAGAAATCTTTTTATAATACTTAAAACAAATCACTCTTGTGTGAAATAAAACGTCCCCAAAGTCATCACTGTCACAATAACAGCAGACAAGTGGCTAGAAATACCTTTATTTTACCTAACAATGATGTTTTTAAGTAATCTGAGGGAAATACATTCTGGGCATAAATGAACAAACTCGGACCTGTACATAAATCTTTCTTTTAGAATGGAGTTGATAAGCCCCTCCCACCTGGTTAATTTCTTCCCTTGGATATGCCTTTTCCTAAGCTAGGAGACACTGCTGTCCCTGCCATCAGATTTGTGGACAGAGATTACCACAGGTCAGTCACATAGTACACACCAGGTAAACTGTTAAGATTAAATGATCAAGACGATAGTACCCTCTTCAAACAGTCCATTTCAAGCCAATACTATCTTCTGATTCATGTACACTTTACAATTTTGTGTTATCTTCTTTACTATTGACCAGTCCCTCTGGGAAATAATTAACCAAGCAAATATTTAAACATTAAGCTAAGTACTCTTGCAACTTCTGTAATGGAAAGTAGCATATGTGTGAACATAATTAATCACACTCAGGCACATATATCAATGCAACACTGTATGAGTGCTGGGGAAAGGATATATGTTTTCAATATTGCTAGAGATCCTCACCAAAAAGTCAGCAGTGGGTACATACTGTCTGCAAAAACAAGGAATGAACTCGACAGAGCTCTCACCCTGGGGCCCTCATTTGTATTATTTTGTTTTATTTTATTTGGAACAAGGTCTTTCTATGTAGCCCTTGCTGTCCTAGAGTTCACTATGTAGACCAGGGTGACCTCAAACTCACAGAGATCCTCCTGCCTCTGACTCCCAAGTACTGGGATTAAAGGTATGCACTATGTTCAACTGGATTAATCATTTTCAAAAGATGATTATAATGTAGGGAAATCTGCTTTTTATAGCACTTCTGTTTACAAGCCAATGATTGTTAAGTTTTCTGTATACAAATGGGGCCAAAAATCTTTAATTTTCTTAAGGATTTATCTGATTTTAAAGTGTGTGTGTTTTGTGTGTGTGTGTGTGTGTGTGTGTGTGTGTATGTGTGTGGGGTGTGTGGGGGTGTGCACATGGGTGCTGGTGCCCATGGAGGCCAGAAGTGAGTCACTGGCATGGGTGCTGGGAAATGAACTCGGGTTCAGCGCGTGTTCTGCAGGAGCAGCACACATACTTAACCTCTGAGCCATCTTCCATCCTCAGCTGAAAATATTTTTAAAGCAAAATTCACTTGGCTTGAAACGCAAAGGAATACATTTATTTAAAAAAAATTAATGCAGGGCTAGAGAGATGGTTCAATGGTTAAGAGCACTTGATCCTCCTACAGAGGGTTCCCAGCACCCACCTGGTGGCCCATAGCATCTGTAATTCTAGTTCCAGGGATCCAGTGCACCTTTCTGACCTCTGAGAGCACCAGACATGCATGCGGCACACAAACCCATAACATAATCTAAAAATTTAATATAAAAATAATCATTCACTCCTCAGGGCATATCATGTTAACAGATCCCAAAGCTGGTATTAGAAGCAGATAATGCTGTTCACCAAAGCAGACCACCTGCCAGTCTTAAGTGACAGAGACGTCAGGCTTACTGTACAGCTAAGTCTCCATGTTCAAAACCTGTGTTCCCCAGAGGGAATACAAATTCAGATGCAAAGTTAAAATCTAAAATGCACCCTTGTGAGTGTGAGCATGTGTGTGTGCATGCGTGCTTGTGTGTGTATGTGTGTGCGCATGTATGTGCTTGTGGGTGTGCACATTGTACCTTTTTAAGAGAGTGTCTTACTATAGCCCAGGGCAGCCTGTAACTCACAATTCTCTACCTCCAGAGTGTTGGCATTACAGAGGTGTGCTACCATGCCTGGCTTGATATCTTTTCTAATACAAGAAATGTGACCTAAGTATTAGGACTTGAGGGTTTATCAGTCATCCTTTGCAAAGAAGTTATTAAAAAAAATGTCAGATGAACTTAATTCTCCACTCACAGTTCAAAATTATAGAGGCATGCCACAGCCCTGTCCAGGAATACGCTCTCACCTCCCCCAGGACAAAGGCTAGTTCTCTCTACCCCACCACAAAATATGAACAGGAAAATAAAGCTGCTCTGAAGCTGAAATAAATTTAGTTCCAAGCAAATTTCCATGTGAGTCAACTCTTCCCAAATGATGAGAGGAAAAGCCACTGACTTTTGGAGGCAGGAATTAATTCACAACCAATCCTGAGAGTGGAGGAAGCTCTGGCTCTGCTCTGCCAAAACTTTTCATGCCATGGGTCAGGCCCAGAGCGCTGGAGCCTCCCACACAGGGTGGTACTTCCAGCCCACACAGAAGCAGTTTTATCCAAGGCTATAAAAACTCAGGGGAGAGCGTGGTCTTTTAGCTGCTATGCAGAGAACTTTCCAGCAACATCATCCACGACGCCAAGGTCTAGCTCCACAACAGGAACAGAGCGCTGCTGCTGTCTCATCATCATGCTTGAGCCTGCGCTGGCTGAACATATTATGTGAGACAGAATGACCACAGCCTGCTAATGTCCTAGTTGCCTAGGATCTTAACTGTTGGAGCTTAAGGGGACTTAAATACTAGGATATCTCATTCACACCCAAAACTAAATAAATTAATAAGAAGCATGAACTGAGCCAGGTGTGGTGGCACATGCCTTTAATCCCAGCATTTGGGAGGCAGAAGCAGGAGGATCTTTGTGAGTTCAAGGTCAGGCTGGTCTATATGGTGGGCTCTAGGCCAGCCAGGACTGCATAGAGAGATCTTGTCTCAAAAGAAGGAGGAGGAAACAGAGGAGAAACAGCGTAGTGTTACTCAGGTGTTATGATGTGTTTATAGTTTTTCCAGGCAGCACCCTAAACTCTAGGCTTACCTCACAGTGCCAGGAGGGCATTTCAGAGGCATTTTCAAACCACTGTATGTAAACTGGACTCAGACTTCTGACCTTTACCTGTCCATCTGCACAGATCTCCTTCAGCAAGGAGTGCCCTTCTTCCACAGTCCTGGGGTCAACTTTGATTTCCCCCTTTCTCTTACTATATCCAACCTGTCAGCTAACCTTGATAGCCTGAACTTGAAAGTAGGGCCCTTTCTGCTCCCTGTCCAAGCCTCTGGCTGCCTTAGTTGTTGCAAGTGTTGTCGTAATGAGGTCTCCCTGTCCCCACACTGATCCAGCACAGACTATGTTCAACACAGCAAAGGATGATCCATTAAGACATTCACTCTGCTCAGGACTCCCTGGGGCTTTCGGTGGAACTCAGATTTAAAAAGAGGCACCTGGCTACTCTCTGCTTCGTTCACTGTCCCAGCCTCGATGGCTTCCTGACTTCTCCGTGAGTGGCATGCACTGGTGCCACCTCAAGACATTTGCCATCAGAGCAAGTCCTCTTTCATTTTGTTATTTTTCACTGCTTTATCCCCTGGCCACAAAGAATGAGTCTGGCACCCTGAGTGCTTGACAACTATTAATTGAATAAAGTAATTAAATTCATTCAACCAATAGCAACCTGGGAGCTGCTTTTCATTTTCACAGATGAGGAAACTGGACCATACAAGAGTCAATGAGCTTAGTCTTGAGGGAATCTTACAATCTGAGATAGAGGAGAGTCAGAATTCAGCCCGAAACAGGAAGGCTACAAGAAGCCTTAACTGCATGGCTAATCCTGCATTCCTATGAAAAGAAATGTCTCACTCATATTTTGGAGTCATTCACAAACAGCTAAGAGCTCCCATCACAGGAAATCATCGGCGTGACTAGGGTTAGGCTAAAGTAAATGATGTCATCAAGGACTTTCTGGGACCCCTTACAGGTCTCCCAACATCTGCCACCAGGATATAGAAAAGGGCAAAGGAAAGAAATAACGCTAAAATCATACACCAGAGAGAAGAGTCTGAAAGCATCCCAAGGTTCTAAAATAGCAGGCCACCTCTGGGCTGGCTCTTAGAAAAAGCAATTATCATTTCACTGATGCAGAGGTGAAGGTTTTGCTTGTATAAAACAGAAGAGAGGAAATGCAGTCTAGTGGTGAGCTGTTCGCATCAGTCTGGATGGAACTCTGTTTTGGCCACCTACTGACTAGTGTCCCACCATCAATTTTACCTTCTGTGAAACAGGGCGATCTTAGTGTCCACCTCCTGAGATTGGTGTGTGGACTAAGAGTGAATACATAGACTAGACCTGATACTCCCCAAGGCTCACTGTTAGTGATGCAACACTTTTTTTTTTTTTTTCAGGAAGTCAGCTAAGCCAGTCTTTATATTTTTCAGTCTCTCCAGAGTGAGCTTCTAAGGAGTTTGGGGGGTGGGGTGGGGGGTAGGCAGAGGCTTGGAGTTGAAACAATATTTTCTTTTTTACATAATTCTGAACACTGTTTATGATTGGTGATAAATCTTTCCGAATGGGATCTGAAATGCCATTTGCTTTAAGCTAACTGAGAAAGGGGTGGTAATATAGTTAAGATTGCAGCTGGTAACATTTAGCAAAAACAAAACCGAAACAAATTGAGACTGAAGAAAAAACAAATGAGCTCCTCATCAGCATGACACTGTCCTGGCCCTCATTTCCAAGGGGAGGAAAAGCCAAAGTCAAGTCTGAAAAAGAGAGATCCCTAGGTAGGGAGCTGAGGTTGGGGACGGATCGCAAGTCAACCTCATTGTGACTTCACTAGTGGCTGGACTCCTTGCAGAGGGACTGGACAGTGATTCTATTTGCACTTCCAGGTTCCAATCTTTCCTCCATGGGGGGACACTCTGCTTCTATCTGTCTCAGATTTATGGTTCCACTTAAGATTTTATTGGGGGGGGAGGTTCTGCTGCTAAAAAGAACCCTGAAACCAGAGCTTCAAGGCCAAGGATAGGAGAGGGAGGCGCCCTTAAGTCTACAACCCCAAAGAAGGGATTCCTGGCAGATGATTCCTTATCGCTTTCCATGCTCCCAGTTCAGTCTTCCGCTCTCTGGCTACCAAATACTGGCCCCGCCCTGGGGACCCAGAGGAAATGAAGAGATTTGCGATTACTTCACACCTGTCACACCACCCCAGGCATTCAGTCCACACATCTCACACTCACTTGTGATTTTTAGGGAAACACAACAACACAGCATCTCCGACCTTCAGCCCCCAGCTGCAAACTCATTTCTTAAAGTCTTCCTGAAATTGTGCTCATGTTATTTCAAAACAGCTTCCTGAGGACTACTAACAGTACGATTTGGGAGTACTTCCAATACTGGCTGGGGCGGGACTGGATGGGGTGGGAGCCAAACACTAGGGCTGAACAGAGTGTACAGACAATAAATCAGCCACAGGTATATCATCCACACCGTGTCAGAGGGTTAGCCCTCAGATGTTCTGAAAAAGGAACCGTTTATATTAGCCTGTAGTTGTAATAACATCTCAACGCGGGGACCTGCTTTCTCTTGGTTTTTTACACAACCCAGAGACCTGCTGCCAGCTCATACTGTGAGCAAAACAACTCTGACCCTTTTCCTGTATGACAGTGACTTCGTCCTCTTAAGGGAACAAACAAAACCCAGAAAAATATGACGGCCGCCCAGAGAGCTGCGAGCAGATGCCTCCAGCTGGGAAATAATTCTGGTAAAATTAAAGAGGCACTTGGAGCCCTAGAAGAGTGGGCGGCCTCCAGGTGAGGACTTGGAAGTGCCTTGGAACCTTCCAGTACGCTGCCTGTCCAAGTCTGAAATCTGGGCTGAGTTTTGGATTTCAGGCTGCTAGATCTAGCAAGCCCAGGAAACGAGAAAGAAAAGAAAGACGGGGCTAGCAGGATCATTGGTCAGGATGTGCCTAGACACGTCTGTATCTAAAACTGACACTTTAAGCTATCCACTGGGACCTGTCACATGGCATCAAAAAGATCACTGCACTAAGTAAGCCCTTATTCTTAGGTTAGCTACATGCCAGAATCCTGTGGCCTCATAAATAGCAAAGCTGCTGGCAGCATACGCTTCCCTGGGTGGGGCTGAACTCCGCTCCAGGTCCAGGGACCCC